CAATCGCGATTTTCATGCCGCGTGATTTCAAAGTTCACTTCGAGTCGCCGCAAAGCGTGCCCGATCGACTCGAAAACTCTTCTCGCGCATCCGTGCCTAAAACAATCACGATTTTCATGCCGCGTGATTTCAAAGTTTACTTCTAGTCGCCGCAAAGCGTGCCCGATCGACTCGAAAACTCTTCTCGCGAGCGCGTCGCGCGTGTCCTCCGCCGGGAACGTTCGAGGCGGGGTTGCGAATTCCGTAGGCCGTCTAACGTCGGTTGGTATTCACGCTCGTGCGTTTCTGCGCGCGCCGTCAGCAGCGGAATGCAGATGAGTGCAGGTTGCACTCGGAGTATTACCCGGCGCGCGCGCACGAGACGTCTCTCTCTCTCTCTCTCTCTCTTTTTTTTTACTTTTTTTTGCGTCGCGGGAAAGAAACACGCAAAGAATTCGAGCGCGCAGAAAAATCCGACGCTCCGCGATTCGCGCGTTCGTTGCGTAAGAGGAAGTTGGCGAAGTTTGCGCATGCACTTGGATTGAGTGAGTGCCGCGCATTGCGCAAACCCTTGAAAGCTCTCGATTGTCAACAGGTCGGCTTGCGCGGCCGTTCGTTTTAGCTGGAATCTCAGCTCGCTCGTTTCTCATCGATCGCCGATTACTGTCGATCATAACTCATCCCGTTTTCCATCCGAGGATGCGGCGTCGCAGGCATAATCGCATTTTTATTCCAAGGCTGCACAATTCATTATTGCCATCTATGTAAACACTTGGTTAATACAATGTGCGTATGAAGGATAAAAAACTCGGCGATTCGTGCAACACTCGATTATACTGGATGCAACGTGCCAGCTTTACGAAGGCATCTTTATGAAGACATCTGGCAAATTTCAATGACCGAGAGATATTTAGTTTTTCCGAACGACTGTTTTTCCCACGCGATAGATATTTGCCTCGCAATTGTTGATTTACCAGTAACGTATGAAAGTAATAAGACATTTTTCTTCCCGGGTGCGTAAGATAATAGCACGTAGCAAGTAACAAGTGTCGGTGAAAATATCGATGCTCATGTTTGTGTGCGCGTGTGCTAAATACATTATTTTTCAGCTAAATAATCGCTGAAAGCCTCTGCTGCAATTAAGCGGCAAATTAAGCGGGAAATTATACCGCGAGTTGCCATAACGCACAGAAAATAGCGAGCTCGCTGGCGATATATGTGTATCCTGCTCACGTAAGGTGTCAAGTAAATAAACATTTTTATTCGCTTGCATAGCTCGCACGATTTCTCGCAATCGTTTCACAACGGCGTAAAGTTTCCGCCTAGGTAACAACGCAGCGATTCCTCTCGCATGCATTCCGAAACTCGTCGCAGGTGTCCGATCTTTCTCACCTCCGGGCTCCCCTCGTCGCGGCGAGTGCGAAATTGAGAGATCGCGACGTTCGCCCGGACCGACGCGTCTCGACGCAGCATCCGTCGTGTCGCGCTGTCGATTGCGTTACGAAAAGGAGCGCGCGGGGGAAGCGACAATTTATTCCCGATGCATTCCGAAACTCGCGCAGATATCCGGCTGACCTTTCTCGCCTCTCGGCTCTCGTGGAGCCAGGTGTGAGATTATTCAACGTCGCCGGCAAGAAGGCGATTTCCACGGAGGAAAAAGAGCGCGCTGGCGCGCATGGATCGGCGACTATTGCAATCGTATCGCAATAACGAAAGGGGAGCGATCGCACGAAGGACTCTCGGGGCCACGTGGCTGGGACTCGGGGAAAACTCGACTTCGTTGTCCGGGTTCTCGCCTTCGGAAGACATCGATGACGTAGACACGCGGAGCCTGCCGTAGATGCGAAACTTTTGCCTGCTCTGGGGTAAAAAGGACAAATAGCAACCCACTTTGGGGCCCACAATTAGTAATCGAATTATTTGGATTGTTCGTAAACTCATACTCTGGGACAAATTTTGACCGATTTTTTTTGTAGTTAAGCAACTTGACATTTCGGTTAGTGCCTCTTAAGTGAAAATTATCGACAGAACTAATTGAGAGAATTACTTACAAATCTTGGAAGTAGAATAGCTAATTGC